TCTCTCTCTCTCTCTCTCTCTCTCTCTCTCTGCAGAGGCTCTGCCCTCACTCCCCCCTCCAGTCTGTGCAAAGTAAAGCAAGTGCCTTGCGTGGTGCCTCTGCCCTCCTTAATGTGTCTCCGTTCCTTCCTACTCTGGGGTGGGGCAGGGCCTCCGGCTTCCTTCCTGGAGGCAGCATCTTCGCCCTCTCGGGGCCCATCTGGTGTCAGCCCTTTGGCCAGGTTACAGTCCAGTTCCCCTTCTGGGCTGTCTCGCTCCTCGGTCCCTTCTCCCACTGGCTGATGGGGCGTTGGAGGGCCCCAGCCCAGGGACCCTGCAGATAGCGGCTGTCTGCTGTGCCCATTCCAAAGCTGCTCTGATTCCCTGGGTCACTCCCAGTGGCCCTGGACATCTCTTCTGGCCCACTGGGCACCCGGTCTTCACTCCTTGGGTTCACGCAGCAACTCGCTGCTGCTGTCCTGCAGCTCCTTTTGTACGACCTGCCTGGCCCCCTTTGGCTGCTCCCCTGTCGCTCCTCTAGCTTGCTCAGACAACCTGTCTACTGCCCTTTTCTTGGGCGGGGTGTGGCAGAACCAGCGGCCTCCCCAAGGGCCTCGTCCCCCCTCACGGGTCACAGGACAGATTTCACTTTCAACATTACAATGCCTTTGTAGGGGGAGGGGAATAATTTTGCTTCCATGGTTTGTGGCATGAATTCTAGGGCACTATAACTTGCACTGGCTCCTTTGACATGGAGAAGACTCCGATTCAGACTGTTAGACGTACTTATTTACACTTGCACCCTCTTATTAAAGCCATGTAACTTTCACATCACCCTGAATGTGGCACACGGGATCCCCTGAGTTCAGGTGTCTCACAGCCTGAGGGTCTAGACTGAGAGCAGCTGCTAGGAGGAAATAGGAACCCGCTACTCTGAACAGACCCTTCCCTTCTGCTCTCAGAACGTATGGCTGTGTTGAAACAGCAACGTTTCCTTGACAAGGCTAATGTTGGCCCGCAGAAATTGACAAAAGCACAGTCGCCAAAGCGTGTTCACACTTGCTCCCTCTGGTGACACATCACAGTCACATTGGGAGCTCCCTCGTTGACAGCGTGAGCTGTATCCTGCAGTGCCTGGCGACCCCGCCTGGCGCTAGGTGTTATAGGAACACGGCCATGCTAAACGTCCAGTCGGGCGCCGCGTGGGGTCCCAGCCCTGCAGTGGTTCGTGGCTTCTGTTCATGCTGTTTTCCAACTGCCGCTCTGCCCTGTGCGCTCCAGCATCAGCCGGGAAAGTTCAGTGGTGTGCGCACAGGGCGGCGCAATTCCTCTGGAAGCTCCTGATGGAGGAAACCTCGCAGATGCTGGACCTTCAAGTTGGCATTGCTGTCAGCAGTCACAGAGCGTCGCTTTTGGGCTAGGGCAGGGGTGGGCAAAAGCCTCTCAGGTGAGGCTGCGGTGGAAGGAGGCAGAGCTGGGGCTGAGGCTCCTCCCGGGCTAGCCCCGGAGACTGGAGGAGCTGCTGCCTCAGTTGTGCAATCTGGGGCTGAGCTGTGGCTGCAGCAGCGGCGCCTCCGGGGCCAGCCCTGGGCTGCGTGTCCATGGCAGCGGCGCTTCTAGGGCCACTGTGTGATCATGTTGTCACGGTGCCTCTGGGGCCAGCCCCAGAGTGTGTGGCCATGGCAGCATCATCTCCAGCCTCTGGGGCTGTCCCAGGGCCGTGTGGCCTTGGAAGAGGCGCCTCCGGGGCCAGCTCCAGACTGGGAGGGGGGGCAATAGACAGTGGAAACATTCCAAGGTTAGCGCCAGAAGGCCTTGCAGCAGAGTAGGGCGGGGCACTGCTCCATGGTGTGGCAGGTGCTTGCAGATCACCGTGGATGTTTCACAGACATCAGCACGCTTGTTCAGGGCCGTGTTACTGATCATACAATTCCCATGGTTATAGCCGCGTGCTGCACTTTGCATAATCGCTGTGTGCACAAGGGCGACATGTTTGCTCGGAGTGGAGCCCTGTGGCACGCCGCTTGGCAGCACAGGTCCGAGGGCTGACAGAGGGGCCCAGAGGGCTGCTATTCACACCAGGGAGACGTTGAGGGGGCACTTGGACAATGAGGGGCACGAGCATGTCCCCTTTCCCTGCTGCATCCCATGTAATACAAATCCCTGCACGATGGTGCTTGAACAGCTGGGCCTGCAGTGACTGCTGTGTGAATCTGTGGAACACAAAATGCCAACATACCCTTATAAAACCTGGCCGTTGCTGGCCAAGGTAAATGAGGGTGAAGCACGCCAAAGCGATCGTGTTTGCTGGGAGAGGGGAAAACCTCGCAGCTTTGGGTAGGTCCGGCTATCACAGTCAGAGTCCAGGGGGTTCCCAGGCAGCGAGACAGAATGTGTGGGCGTAGGGGAGCCCTGGAAGAAGAACTGTGCGTGTTCTGCAGGGGAGGGCAGCCCTGGGTTTGTTCAAAGGTGAGAACGTGTCTGACCTGCAATGCCCTTTCTAATGCCTCCTTTCCTGTCTCCCCAGATAACCTGATCAAAGCCATCCTGTCAGCAACCAAAGATTATCGCCTCACTCCGGCCCTCGACAGGTACGGGGAGACCCTTCTGGAGCAAATCATGGCTGCTCATCACATTTCCTGACTGCAGCCCCCAGCACTTGTCTCTGCTTTGCACCTAGGCCAGGCGCTGCAAAGAGAGTTCTCCGTCCAGTGAACTCTGGAAACGTTTGTTAGCTCAGCCCTGCGAAGAGTAGGTTTGCATTGCGGCTGCTTCCTAATCATTTGCTTCTAAGAGCAGGAAAGCCGTGTGCACCGTTGCTAGCTTTTCAGGCAGATAACTGGCTCGGTTTCAGAAACTGTGGCAAACCCTCCCCCCAGCGCCCTGCAGTATGCTGGCCACACGGCCAAATTGGGCAAAGGTAGGGAACAAACGAGGAGGCTGCCACTTGTTCTAACAAGACTAGCTCACCGGCAGCTCGCTCTGAACTCTGGTGGGGGTAACTGCAGGGACTGAGGGTAGGGGCTGCCATGGGGACTTGGAGGGTTGAGCCGATTTAATGCGTATTGGTCTCTTTAGAAGAAGCTCCTTCCAGCTTTCTGGTCCTATTGTAGAACTGGGTCTGGAAAATCCTTGGCACGTGTCGGTCAGTTACCTGATCCTTTACCCTCTTGCATCCTGACCCTTCCTCTGTTTGACCTCCAGCCTTGGATTCACGTCCTCAGCAGGTGTCAGTTCCTGGAGCCGGGGTCATTTTTTCAGAAGTTATGTGACTTCAGCACTTTTGAGAAATGTTGGAGCTGCTCTTTCCTGACTCTTCCTGCAGCTTTGATCTCACACTGAGTCCTGTTTTCTGACCCGCTAACCCTGCTGTCCCTCCAGTGCCCACCAGCACTCCCGGTCTCTACAGCTCTCAGCTCACTGGCAAAAGGCGACTCTTCTAGGGGCCCTGGCATGCACACCTGGATCTATAGTCTGCTGGCTCAGAGTGTCCTGCAGTTTCCTGTGCCTCATGGGAGTGGGGGGTGGGCAGGCTTCGTGGTCCAAATTTGGGGCTATTTGAGAAAGGGGGTGTGAAGAAACAGCCCCTTTCAGATCCCCGTGTGCTTCCACAGTTCCCTGGTTCGTAAGAGTGCTTTTTTGGTGCATGCTGGGGGCTCTCACAGTTGCTGTGACCCTCCCCAAACTGATGTCACCTACTTGGGATTTGCTTCGGCCAGAGAACGACACCCTTGGCTTCTTCGGGGAGGCGTGCTTGAAACGCTGCCGAGGGACGCGCTCCACTGAGGCGCCAGAGAGGGCTGTGCCGCAAGACTGGTGCTGCGTGGCTCCGAGGCTTTGCCGGCAGCCTGCCAGCGCGGTAACCGGGTAGTCCGAGTGACGTGCAGAGGCTCTTGCACCAAGCAGCATCTGATTATCTGAGTCCTAACCGCGCAGCTTTGTGAGAGTGCTGTGCGCATTGCTGTGTGTGCCTGTGCTCACCAAACGCTTCCCCGGGAGCTTTTCCCATGAGACCAGAACTTCTGGCTCAAGGGCCCATGTGGAGAGCTCTCTGAAATCCCCAGGCAGCCTCACGGTCTGCGGAGAGGCACTGTCAAGGAAAACAGCCTCAATTCACCAGCGCAAAGACCAGGAAGCAGCTGGGGCGATGTGATCACAGAGCCCGGTCCTCAGACTGAGCGGGCCCAAAGGGACGCAAGTCGCTGGGTGGCTTCCTCCAGGGATGCTGCAGACCGCTGGAAAAGCTGCTGCTGCACGGCTCTGGGAAGGTACCGGCGGTGACATGAGCCATTCCAGGCGAAGGAGCAGACTGGCGCACGGTTAATCTGAACTAAAAGCCGTGAAAAGACGGGCTCTTAGCTAGTGCCCATTGCCACGTGCTCTGATCTTAGGAAGGAACAATCAGTTCCATACATACAAGATGGGAAGCGACTGTCTAGGAAGGAGCATGGCGGAAAGGGATCTAGGGGTCATAGTGGACCACAAGTTGAATATGAGTCAACAGTGTGATGCTGTTGCAAAAAAAGCAAATATGATTCTAGGTTGTATCAACAGGTGTGTTGTAAGCAAAACTCGTGAAGTCATTCTGCCGCTCTATTCTGCACTAGTTAGGCCTCAGCTGGAGTACTGTGTCCAGTTCTGGGCGCCACATTTCAAGAAAGATGTGGAGAAATTGGAAAGGGTACAGAGAAGAGCGACAAGAATGATTAAAGGTTTAGAGAACATGACCTATGAAGCCAGGCTTCATGAACTGGGCTTGTTTAGTTTGGAAAAAAGAAGATTAAGGGGGGACATGATAGCGGTTTTCAAATATCTAAAAGGGTGTCACAAGGAGGAAGGCGAAAATTTGTTCCTCTTGGTTTCTGAGGACAGGACAAGGAGTAATGGGCTTAAAGTGCAGCAGGGGAGGTTTAGATTGGACATTAGGAAAAAATTCCTAACTGTCAGGGTGGTCAAATATTGGAATAAATTGCCAAGGGAGGTGGTGGAATCTCCCTCTCTGGAGATATTTAAGAACAGGTTAGATAGACATCTGTCAGGGATGGTGTAGACGGAGCTTGGTCCTGCCTTGAGGGCGGGGGGCTGGACTCGATGACCTCTCGAGGTCCCTTCCAGTCCTATTATTCTATGATTCTATGATTCTATGATCTTGCATAATGATATTTCTGGTAGAGCAAGTTTGACTTTTGTTGTGAGCTGCCCCATTTGCTCGCTAAAGGTCGATGCGTTGTGTATGAGACTCCTGTGAGATATCTGACCTAGTCCAAATGCCATCCTGCTCTACAAGAAATACCATTGTAAAGGGTCGGCACAGCCCATGTGATACGGATTAAAAGCTACTTGAGAGAGATTTCAAAAAAGCAATTCATTGTTGACTGCATGGGTGGGAAACCTCAGGCTTTAGGCTCTGGTGAGCAAGGGTAATGGGGGGAGTCTCTGCTCATTTGGGGGACACAGTGAGGGGTTTTTTCCCTACCTCGCACTTGTGTGCAGCCCCCGACTGATTTTTCTGTGGGTCAATGGCCCCTGACCCAGAAAAGGTTCTCCACCCCGATCTACAGGGCATGCTTTTAGTAAGGTCCTGCAGGGATCTGCTCTCAGCCCAATGCTATTGAACTTTATCTGTGCTATGGAAGAAAATAGAAAATGAGTGCTGGTAAAACTTGGAGATAACATACATTGGTGGGGTGGCTTGTAAACAGGACAGGGCAACGTGCATTTTACCAGAACCAAAGATCATAGGCACACCGGTAAGATGAGAGATGGTCCTCAACAGGCAGACACACTCGAAAGGACTAACCAGCTGGTTGAACATGAGCGCCCAGCGTGCTAAGAGCAAATGTGATCCAGGGGTGCCTAAGGGAGGTGGCATTACCCCTCACATAGCAACCGGTAGACTGTTACTGGAGACTGCATCCAGTTCTGCTTTCTAGGAGCATTTCCTCGGGCCCTGGTGACTTGCAGGCATCTCACTTTTCTAAGTGATTTTTAACTTGTTCTTTTTTTATTTTATCTTCTAAATCTACCCCCTTCCCACTGGCATTCACTGTTAGGCATTCCTTCATCAGACTTCTTGGTGAAAACCGAAACACCTCTGCTGTTTCCAAGAGAAGGTTCAGAGGTAACTTGATCCTGGTCAAAAAGACATCTTTTAAAATTGGCCATCAAGTTCTACTACTAAGTGATTTTTAACTTGTTCTTTTTTTATTTTATCTTCTAAATCTACCCCCTTCCCACTGGCATTCACTGTTAGGCATTCCTTCATCAGACTTCTTGGTGAAAACCGAAACACCTCTGCTGTTTCCAAGAGAAGGTTCAGAGGTAACTTGATCCTGGTCAAAAAGACATCTTTTAAAATTGGCCATCAAGTTCTACTA